CCCCAAAACCCCAAAACCCCAAAACCCCATGAGAGAAATCTGGTTCCATACCGATCTGACATGAATATATAATAATTATTATTACAAATCTATATAATCCATACAAATTTTGAGTACAGAGTAAAACTTACTAGTTCCTTATTATTTTTATCCAGTAAAATAATATTTGTTATTTTGGGCTTAAGTCATAATCTTGCTTGTGTCTCTCTCATCATCAATATGTCTCAAAATCATCAATCTCAAATGAATAACATGAGATTCAATGAAGGTCTCCACCACTTATCTATATCAGTAAATAAAGTGTCTTAATTGAAGAGTTTTACCTCAGAGTTTTATTATTCCTAACACTTTATTGAAGAATCAGGCCTGTTTTCTCCTATCTATGGCTTCATTAGATAAAGTACACAATTTATTATAATTTTAAATAGTTTATGAAGAATCAATCAGACTAGTAACAATAATATCTAGAGAAAAGTGCATCTGAAGATGATCAGAAGTTATAACTTTTCATAGAGGAATAAGAAGATTTAGATATACTTTATGGCAACTGCTTTCTTTTATCGTGCTAAGATAATAAATTCAACCAAATGTCATTGCTACAAAATGAGAATACAGCTGATCAGTTTGAGGAACAACTCTTCGACATATTTAGGAATTATAGAGTACCACGAGACTTATAATCAAACTCAAAGCTAAGAAAAAATAGCACCACAAGCTATCTAGCAAATGATAAAATTAGTAGTTCGTCATTGTCTTTGAATTTGGATTAATAATCTACTGAGGAAAGAGAGAGTTTCATAGATAAAATCTAAGAAAACCCTCCAAAAGATTACTAACCAACTCAATTGAATATTGGTAGTACCATTAATACTTAAAACGATCTGGAAAATTAGAAAAAATAAGCCTGTCGGTAAACAAAGGGCGATTTCTAAAATAGACTCTACTTAAAGAAATCGAAAGTCAATTCTCTTAAGTCAAAGGAATAAATTCAATATCTAGAATCACAGTTCATCAAGAGCTAGCGTTGGAAAAGTGAAAGGATCAAAAAGATGTCACATGAAGTTGGTTTATCATTCTATCAGATCTATAAGTGGAACTGGGATCGTAGAATGGCCTTAAAATAATATCACGAGAATAATAAATACGTTGACTGCAGATATATAAAAATTTTTGAAGTAATAAAATATCCAAGAAACTAATAAGAATTATAAAAGAGTAAAGAAGAAGGAGATGACATAAATGATTATAGAATCTTCAAAGCAGGAAAAATTTGAATGAGAAATCATCAGCTAAATATAGTTAGAGAGACTTGCAGATAAAGTAAAGCTATTAAATTTGTTCGAATATATATAATCTGCATTTAATCAATTAAATTCGAATAGTTTACATAAATCACTCATATTTGCCTTAGCGGGGTTTTGGGGTTTTGGGGTTTTGGGGTTTTGGGG